TACGGCTCATCGACAATTGAAGTCATTTAAGACCAAATCAATAGACACAGTACAGAATTGCTTCTTTTTACCTTACTAATATCATAGCCAACTGTCAGTCGAGGGTTTTCTGGTTCATTTCACGTTAGTTTAATTCAAACACATTGCATTACAGGAGCCTGCTATCACTAAATTTCAATAATTAGAATACTTTTGTTGTTTGTTTGTCTAGTTTTGTCGTAAACGGTAGATAACGTCAAACCTCCTTTGTAGTTATTTATTTGTGAATTGACCAACTAGAATTTGATTATCACCGATTAGGTATTGCTTTCATGTATTTTTTTCACAAATAAACCCCCGGGTTTTAAAAACCGCATCAATGGTTCGAACATACAAATGATAGCATGGATGAGACAGTAATTGACGGTTTTACCATTTAAAGAAAACAAATCGGAACTGAAACCATTTGTTATCAAAGAAACACCACTTTTACTCTACATCGGCCTTGTACTAAGTACATAACCCTCGAATCAAGAAACAGAAAAAAGTTAATCAAATCGTCAGTATGTGGTTAATAGCTAGAGGGTCAACCCGACCACTGACCCAACACGGCCATTATCCTTCACAGTGGGTGGTCACCTGTTCTCATCTCTAAGTGACCAGCGGTCAAACTGATTGACAACTGAATCGCTCGTGGTCATGTAGCTTACATAATTAATGACAGGGGTATCTATAGAACGCCCCCTAACGTCAATAGATAGTTAAACGTCTCAATCAGGCGCAACATTTCAATTAATTGTCAACTTCATGTGTGTTTTATCACTTGTCCCGACACAGAAAGCGATACCATCTCGTTTGGCGATCAAATACGGTGTAGTGTTTACAAGCCGAGTCAGATATAGATACGCGTTATTACTATACAGTGGAGGAGCGTCTAGCGTTTTATCATTTGTAAATTGTCAAACAAACACAGTGAAACTTGTGAAAATGTCATCGTCATATTTAAAGAATTTAAGAAGAAAATATTCTCGAAATAAATCTGTAGATCAGTGGCGGATCCAGAGATTTTTTGGGGGGTTCAGGAACAACCCCCCCCCCCCCCCCCCCCCCCC